CCAGCGGGTTTACTAAGCTTGAATCCGAGAATTCCCTAATCTCCATCTGTTTTTCATGTTTTGATGGGAATCACGTGACACGTCTCCTGGATCAACCATCAAGTGAATCATCTTGATATTTGTGCCTTGTCCGCTGACTCCTATTTGCCGCTTACCGTCGGCATCGCGGCAAAACAACCTGTGAACGATGCTTCTGTCCAGCTCAGATAACAGAAGGGAAGACAAGGAGGTCCCCAGTGGACTTTGTGCTCAACTGAACGAGTACTGGCTTGAACGACTTCCCGAAGGGACGAAGAAAATACCAAGCACAAACGACTTCCGGTTTTCACTATTGACAGAGCATTTATAGCTTATTTATGAATATTGACAATATGTTATTTAACATTTTTAATAACAGTTAGCAGATAAAAAATTGTTTATAACTTTCGGAGTTATCTTATACTTAAAACAAGTGTTAAAAAAATTGTGTGAATGAACCTTCTAGAGATACAATACATATAATAAAACAGGTACCAAACGAAAACGAGGTGTTCATCAGTAAACCACCTGCAAACATGTCTGACCGATGAAATGATTGGATGATCGCAAATTTGATAGGCCCTAGTGACGTGTAATTGATCGGAGTTTTCCTGGTATTACTTTATATGATACTTTCCTGAGATGATTTGTTACATTGGAACAAGTAGGGAAGATGTCGTGTTTAGCGGCACTCCCCAATACATTTCGATGGTTAGTTGCTTTCTATATAATACTAAAGGTAAGTTTTCTTAGTATCATGGTTTTTATTTCTATCAGATAATCATGATACTACGCCTTTCTCGGGTCTAAAAGCCATTTCGTTACCTTGAATATAAGGCGTACTTCCTCTTAAAACAAATTCTATCCGTAAAATGACCTTTTTATGTAACGCTTTAATGACTATTTTTCTTACCATCAATTCATGTGACGCATGTGACTTATATAAATTCCATACTTTGGTTACATTTTTTGTTTGTTTGTTTGTTTATTTTTTTTAGGTTTGATTAGATATGTTAGGAAATTCATAGCCAGTTAGACTAAACAATTGATTTTGGATTAACTTAAATGAAGAAGAATGAGGACAATGTTTAATAGAACTTTTTTTACTAATTCTTTATATGCCCTTTTTATGGTGAAGTGATGCTCTCATGTGTTACATAACCCTGACTCTAAGTGACAAATCGTTCTCATCTCGTCGTTTCCTATAACATCAAAGATAACTGACGAAAGTGGACTGAAATTTTTCTGTCGAACTAAACAAATCTGTTTCTCATATTTTTTGTTCCCTTTGGACATTTAAGGACAAATAAAGTTTTATTTGCCTATTAACCGAAGTTAATTTGAAGGTGTGAATATCGACCTCTGTTGAGAGGTTTCACGAATCTTATTTCTTGTTTGTTTAATAATAAATGTTTAAAACTCTTGTTCAATTCCTGAAGCAGAATGTCGATATTAGTTTGCCTCAGGTATTATGTAATCACTAAAAATCGGGAAGTCTTTAATAAATAGAATCTGGCGTACAGTGGAACAGAGTAAATTTGTATTATCTTTGACCTGTTGTCAGCGGTACATTTGATCGTTTTTGGCGTGTACTTTAACCTGCTTTGTAGTTTTTCTGCAGATGTAATCAAACAAAGGGCCAATTAAAAATCGTTTAAATTCATAAGTTGGCTCCTATGAGACCTTTCTATTAACTTTTGACTATTCAAGCCATATCATTTCTGGATTTTCCAGAATCGTACTGGGATTCGGAAGGCGTATGAAAGTTTCGGTTATTGTTGGAGAAAAGCTTTGGGTTTACTGATTTCGGGAGAAAACTCTTTGTCGTGCGACCTAAGTGGGGTTGACAAAGGGCTGAGTAATCTTAAAACGGGTACCAAACGGAAAAAAGATATGAGACAAAATACTACCAGCATAATTGTCTGATCTCCTGGTGGAATACTTCGGGTAAAAGTGTCCGCATGAGCTGAGACGAAACGCTAGATATACTAGATAGTGAAATTGCATACCCAGTCTAAGATTCTAAACTCTGAAAACTATACCCTGTTCAGCGGCACCTCCCCGTCCTGGGCAAAATAAGGGTTGTTCCCGGGTAATAATTTTTTACAACTAAAACACAAGATTACCCGTGTAAGGCGGACTACATTGGCAGATCCAGACCTTCAGATTAGGAAGGGGAGGGGGGGGGGGCGGCCATCTAGACCCTGAGATAAGGGGTGCCCGGTCTCCAAGGCCTCAGTTTGGTCTAAACTGAGTAAGGGGGGCAATTTCCTTCAATTGTTCTCTTTTTATCAGACGGCCAGCAACTGTCTTTCAAATCCGCAAGGTTTGGTGTAAAACGATTCCTTTGTGTGTCTCTTACAGTGTATCGAAACTTCCCAAACTAGTCCTGTACAACACGATGAGGAGGACGACGTTGATGATTTCTTCAGCACAACATTGCAAGCTAAATGGTTCAACAACTTGTCCCAAAATCTATGTAACGACGTTTCAGCATCCTGGAAGGATGACCCTAGGGCTTTTGATCCAGAAGTCGTTGTTCAGAGGATGATTGATATGTTGAGAGAGGAAAGTGCTGCACAAGGGAAGCAAGTGGAAGCTTTTTATTACCAGAGTTTGGAAGATTTGAAAAGAGATCCTGATTTCAAACAAATTCTTATGGAGTTCAAAGAGGCACTGGATGGCGAAAGAAACATGATGACTATAGGTTTGCTGGTTGCTTAGGGACTGGTCATTATTTATCGCCTGGGAGGGGCGCGGAGGATTTTGGGGGGATTACTTGATTTTTAGGAGAACAAAAGGGGGGGATCAGTCGTAACTGAGAACCCAAAAGGGGGAATCGCTAAAAACTTTGGAAAATTCAGAGGGGGGACCACTCAAATTTGCATTGAAAATGAAGAC